GTAACCATAATTGAATCATGACAATAATCTTGCAATATGTAAAAACCGTTAATTACTGTGCCACTCGGGGCTGTTATAACATAATCTTGCAATAAAATGATTATTTGCTGTTTGCTATTGTGGCACACGGGGCCGTTATACGTTCCATAATTTTGCTGTTGACCGTTAGCTACTGCGCCATATGGGGCCATTATAATATGATCTTGTGAAAAATTGTTAACCGTTAGTTACTGCGCCACGTGGGGCCATTAATCCAATTATTTGATAATAAAGTAAGGGATTTCTAGAAGGTTCCAAATACCTGGGTATGAGAGGGGGGGCTATATTTATGTAATAAGTGTTAGCTCCCTAAGAAATCTATTAATAAAATAAATATTAACCTATTAAATAGGCGATTAAAACTAATAAAATAATCTATAAACTATGTAAAAATATTAGAAAAATTATAAAATATAATATAGAGCTAAAAATAAATATATACTAATATAGAAAAAAAAAATTCTATTACAATACCAACTATTGTTATCACTTTTATCTTTTATTTACATAATTCTATTAACTTATTACAGTATAGTAATCAGTTAAACAAACTCAACATTACATAGTACATTATAAATTCTAACTGACTAAATATTTGCTAATTTAATAAGTTTTAATACATAAACTTTCAAATCATAAACTTATAATTTTTTAGCTATGACTAAGCCAATAAATTCTACTAACTAATTTTTTACCACATATAACAATACAAGTCAACCAATATTGTAACTTCAATACTATAGAATTAATTCTAGTTAACTTTCAAAAATCAATTTTAAACATTTAATAAAGTATAATATTTAGTTATATTTTAAATAAAAACATAAAATTTTTATTAATAATAATGATATTTATTAACATTTATTATACACATTTGTAAAACAAATTATTTTCAAACACAAAAATTTATAACTTTTTATTTAATATATGACAATTTATTTTTATAGCTTTGTTAAATTTTATTTGTTTATAAATACAACATTATATATAATAATAATAATAATAATAATAATAATAATAAAATCAAGATACTTAGTTTCAGAAATTAATTCTTCTACTTAGTTTTGAAAATTAATACTCCTACTTGTCCCAACTATCGTGTAGAGATGAATCTCATGGTTGGGTCACCTAAAAATAAAAAAAAAACTGATCAACAATAGTTATTAAATTAAAAAAAAAATACATAAAAACAAAAATACAAATACTTAGAACTAACAACTAAAAAACTATAAAATAAAATAAAATTTTAAGTATAGTAATTTTAATTAAAAAAAAACAAAAAGAAAGATATGAATACTCAAAACCAGGTAAAAAAACAAATCCTAAAATCTAAAAAGTAATAAGAAATAAAAAAAAATATTTAAAATAATGGTTTAAATTAAACAAAAAAATAAAAAGAAAGATACAGAAACACTAAGAACCAATGACCTATCTAAAAAAAACAAAATCAGTTTAAAAACAAGAAATGTTGTAAAAAGATGATAAAAGATAATAAAAAATAATAAAAAATAATAGATACTGTATTATCAGATATTATATCAAATAACCCATCTACATTCTTCTGGAATAGTTTTATATAGTAAATAAATTAGTAATTTCAACCTACAAAAAATAAAAGGAAATACATTAATAGAATTCAACATTATTAAGCAAGCAAGAAAACTACAACCTTTGCAGTCTGTAACTGATCCTGTAACTATCCATTTAGTTCAATTTTATTTTAAAAAATGTTAACATCATGATAATTTTTAAAATTAAAGAATTAATATGATTCATTAAAGTATGACTTTCCTTAATCTATATGGAATTACTATACTATGAAAAGCAGGTACAATGAATATTCTGATCATAAGGTAGACAGCATTTCATTGTTTATTGTAGTTGTGAAGGGTTCCATTTTCTTATAGCAGACATTCCAACTGTAAGATGACAGCATTCCATTGTCATCATAACTATAAGAGCTTCTTCTGCTAATCACTTATGCATAGAATAATTATAAAAAATCAAATAAAGTACTTTTCATAAAAATATTTTTCAGTTAACTGACAGTTTTCTTCAATTCTTTCAAACCATCTCTCATGAGATTATCAAGATCCATTTGTAGTTTGTAGTAGATACCAAAATGAAAAAGAAAGTATTTATAAATATATACATGTTCATAACTTCGCAATTTTGATCGTATGACCAGCCGTGTCTGGTTAGGGATACTTTTTTGATGTATTCAAGATTAGTGATTTATAAACATATCAATAATATAATTTATACAATATGTAGATCAATATGTAATCCTCCAATTTGGAAATTGATTATGAAATAATGATGTCAACTGGATCCAATAAAATGAAATTTGAGAAACACATAAAAAAATTATTTTATAATACTTGAACAGTCCGCTAGTAGATGTTATGATTATAATCCAACACCATTTTTATTATAATAAAAATGGTGTTGGATTATAATCATAACATCTACTAGCGGACTGTTCAAGTATTGTAAAATAATTTTTTTATGTGTTTCACACTGTGTGTAAAATCAATCGTGTAACATCAACGTTTCTCGTAGGACACAAATTTTAATGTTAGGAATTTTTGAGATACTATGACCCATATTTTTCTTGACATAAGGATACCCATCAAACATTACGATTATGCTAAATGAAATTTGAATGTATATCTTCTCTTACATCAGATTCCCAATCAACCTGGTGGTTAGTTGTAAACCTTTGTACATTTTATCTAAAGATTGTCAAGTAAGAACAGAATGGATTATATTACAATATGGTCTTGTTTATTGTCTTTTTCATGAGTTCTAAATTTATCAACGTTAAAAAGGGCGGAATACTCACTAGATATTTTGCTCAACGTTTTCTCATGCATTACAGTATCTATGATCAAAGGTTGATCTGATACAGGCAGATTACTGCGAAATAATTATTTGCCACCTTTAGTTTTGAATTTTTATTAAATGAAGCATCCGGTCTATTCAAAGATCTACCTCTGAAAGGGAACGATATGGAAAATTTATATTATCTTTCTGGTGGTCCTTATCAAATTAATCGACCTTGGATTTAAATTAAATAATGATATTGTTTTCTACCTCTTGAGCATCGGTTAAAGAAATTGACAAAATTTTAGAAGAATCGTTTAGAGAAATCACAAAACCTGGTGAAAACTTTTTAAATAGGAATTTAATCCTCGTATTGTAACTGATGTATTCGAATAGGTTTTACCAAGATTTTTTTTTTTTTTTGAATTCTTTGATATAAAAAATATACAAGTGAACCTCGATATAAGAAAGGTGACCAGGTTCATAGTAAAAATTTTACCGAACTTTCTTATATCAAGAGTTTATTAATAACTTTCTTATATCAAGTGGATTTTACTATAGACAGGTTTTGGCTTCACTTTCTTATATCAAGAGTTTAATTAGTCTTTCTTATATCAAGAGTCGCTTGTATATATATTTGTTATTTATTTAAAGAATTTTAACTTCTAATAAAAACGAAATAGTCTTTTTTTTTAGTCTATTTTCGTGACATGTATAGTCGAAGTGCGGATCATGTTACATGTGCTTCAGTCGTAACATAGAACAGTGACATCAACTTTCTCTCTCTGTGATGAACCTTCCTGTACTGTCTTTTGATTATTTACTATTATGTGTTAAAAAAAACCTGAGCCTCTAACACGATAAGATTTTTTTAGCATGTAACGATAATAAATGTCAGTCAAAAAAGAAATATTTTTTACTGTCAGGTGCCAAAGAGTAATGATTGGACCCGAGTGGTGCTATTTGGGTTACCCTTGAGGTGGAAGTACATACGTACTTATGTATATAAAAGTTAGAGAAAATATGGCTGCATAGCCACACAAAGGATATCCAGAAAATGTATACCATGTTAGTACGCCATAATGCCATAGTGGCTAGATAAGATTCTCCAAGGACCCAGATCAGAATGCATCGTACTTGTTGATAGTAATGTTATCGTTTTTACAGTGCGTAAAAATACATATATACATTTCTTGGTAAAAATGCAAAACTTGTTGCAGATGATCGTGAAAGCTCAAATTTCTCACAATAATGATTCCGAGTAAATTAAACATTACAAAAAAAAAAAAAAAAAAAAAAAAAAAGATTTTTAAAGAAACGATTCTTAACAAAATTGTTCTCAAATAGAATAGTTCAAATTGGACAAAAGATGGGGTTCAGCTTTCATTACGTAGTACCCAATGAAACCGTGAAAAAGCACTAACTAATACAAATTATAAAATACAATAAAAAATATACAGTAATATAGTTAGAATTCATCTTTATATCTTTTATCATATTACTAGTGAAGTCATATGACTGAGGTTTTATGACCTCACTAATTGCACTTAGTAATATGACCTGTTATGAGTTTTCAATCTTCCTCAGTAAATTTTCACTTTCACGTGACTGCGTTTAAAAATCTTTAAATTTGTTTAAGTTAGGGTTAGCGTTTATAATATGGCTAGGCTTTAGAGAAGTAATAGTAAAATCATTCGAGAAATTTTTTTGTTAGAGCTCAAAAGGTGGTTTCTTATGCAAGTTTTTTGAGGAATAAGCGATTTTTGAAAAGCGAACGTTTTGTTTTGATCTTCCTGATCGTGTAATGTTACATTAAACCGAAACACGCTATTGGATGATAATCACGTGAAAGTGAAAATTTGACGGCGATCCTGGGTAGTTGAGTTTCAATACTTTGCTTAAGAGCTGAGGAGTGGATTTTAATCTTTAAAGTTCGACAAAACGTTTTATTTATGGTGGTAATTACGAAATCCACAGAATCAGCACCAAACCTTATAGCTTTTTACTACTGAGAATTGGAACTGCAATAATATAGTAGAGTATTATCATATGAAATCTAAACAGAAAGAAAGAAAAGATTCTAGATTACATTAAAAAAGATATTCAAAAGGTAGATGATTTAGTTTCTGAGTTTGATGAGACGTGTAGAAGAAAAGCTAGAGAAATTCTGGACAATTGGAAAGTATGAGCGCTTTTTGCAAAGAAGCTAGCTGAACGAGTTAAATGCTTAGTCCAACAGTAATGAACTCTTCGTTCGACACTTAGTGCAAGCTGGGACTCTTCGTCTCCAGTGATGAACTCTTCGTTCGATGCTTAGTGCAAGCTGGGACTCTTCGTCTAGAGGATAGCTTTTAACTCGATGCTTTTTTTTGCTCTATACTGTTAGTAGAAAACTCTTTTCTAACTAACTCTATATATTTTTTTTAAGGAATGGAGTTCGCCAAAAAACGAACAATTTAACCAGAAGTTCTGCAACACAGAATATTAGAAATCACTCTCAAGATGGAAACAGTGAAGAAGTTGTGATTCTTGAAGTAAGATAACGAACATTGTTTTAAGTACAATAGGTCATTAATATGTTTGGTGCTTAGAACAAAGTGATCATTGATGAAAATGTACAAGAGCAATCTGAAACATCATCTATCAAAGAAGCTGAGGTATATTAAATGTGAGATGTCATTAGAAAATATTTCTTTTCAGTTTTATTTACTATAAGTATTTAAAATAATTTACGATTTAAATGATCTATTCAAGCTCATAAATGTTTTACTATTCAATTTCATTTTATTCGCTCGGCGGATACAAAAGAAATGCCACACATACAACCAAGTTGCAATAAATATAGAATTAAACACTTCAAACTTAGTTTATTGAATGGATTTATTATGAGTCGAGAAAAAGATCAAAAACTATAAAATGATTAAAACGTGTTATGGAAAGATACCCGAGTCAATTAAGAAAGGACTGTGATACGTTCACAATTGTAAGTTCTGAGATCTTTTCATATCGTCAACCTTTATATTACTTATCCATCCTCCATTGCTATGTCCGGGATAGTGATGCAGAAGAATCGTCCCAATGAATTTTTTGATACGAAAAGTTACGGCGTATCGTAACTTTTTATTAAGCTACAAATAAGCATAACTATAATTTGCCGTATCTCAAAAATTCATTGGGACTTCATTGGGACGATTCTTTTGCATCACTAGTCCGGGACACATAACTGATGCTATACTTCATTACGATGTGCACATGCTCTGTAATCCAAATTATTTATACTACATAGCAATTAGTTGAAGTAGATTTTTATTTATGCGACACTTAAATATAATTTTTATACTCAACGACTAATTAACACGAGTAAATTGTGAATATTCATGAGGTTGAATAGCTTATTTAAATACTTAGACTAACAATTATTCCGTGCTAAATTAATGCGAATGATAAAATTAAGTAGTAAATATTCATGAATGTGAATACTTAGATTAATATGTTCTTTATGCTCATGCACTAATCAATGCGAATAAAATGGTAAATATTGAAATTGGATAGCTTAATACTCATCATATTCACAATCTATGAATAGTAATAAAATTATTTTGAATATTTAGATTAAATATATGTTCTTATACTCATTCACTAAATTATCGCGAATACAATAAACTATACATGGACTTGAGTATCTTATTTTGAAGGTTTAGGTTTGTAAATGTTCTTTATGCTCATACACCAAATTAATGCAAATAAAACGAATTATACGTATGTAAATATTTATGAACGTGATACCTTAATTAAATACTAAGATTAATATAAATATACAGTATATTTATAATCGCATATTAAATATAAATATGTAATAAATCTTCATGTAGCAATTCTGTCAGCGGATGGCCCGTGAGTTGACCCACGGGTTGACCACCTGGGTGGTCATGTTCCTTAATCACAGCTCTTTGTAGTGAAACCTTGTTTAAAATGAATAATGTATGAAAGAAATTGTCTAGATTGAACCGATTGAACGGTTGATCTACAAATCACAAACTTTACGGATCGCACAAAATCTGACGGGTCACATCTCTAGCTGTCCCTGTCCCGAATGCCCAACCTTAGTTTAAATTTGATTGGCTCCTATTAATTTGAAGCCATGCATATCTCAGACCACGATTCACATGAATCAATGTTTGAAAGTATGACATCCGAATTCGAAGCGAAATATCAAGATACGATTGATACCAATGAGCCTAGTGAGCTAACAAATACTGAAGAGCTTCCCATTCCACCGGATACTGAAGATCACTACACTGACCAAAAGGTCAAATGGCGTAAACAGGACGATGAGCCTGTTTTGTATAGAGATAAGTATATTGCTGTTACAACTACTTACTTATATATTTTTAATTACTACATGCCGGATGGGAAGGACAAGGCTATCGCTTATACTAGTATAAAAAATATACAAACTGATAAAGAGGCAAATGTCTCTGACTGGGCCTATCAAAAATGGTAAATGTTTTTTTTTTTTTATTTGTTTTTATTATTTATTTATTATTATTACACGTCACTCTGGTTATAACATCAAAGTAAAATCTTTTCTATATCGAAATTTTTTTAAAAATTTTAATATAACTCACTATATCGACATTTTTGAATTTTTTTACTAATAAAACAAAAAAGTCGATATATAGAGTAATGTGATTATTATTATTGTTGATTGTATCTCTTATACTCACGATTTATTACTTTTTAAAGGGGAGCTGGGTCAATAGATCTTTGGGTATGAAAACTTTAATTCATTTTATATGCTGCACTCATTTTGATTGTTCCATTCATTAGTTGAATTTATTTATTAAATAGTGGGCTAAAGATTTTGGAAGATGGAAAGGTCATGATTTGTGTGCGATTGTTACTGTTGACCGTGGTATGGTCAAACGAAAAGGATTTACCATAGAAAATATTAAAGGCTTTCATATTCTCAAAGAAGCTTGGAAAAAGGCGAATGGACTACCTTACGAAGATGATGGATAAATGTGTAAAATTAGCAATCAACGATATCATATTACTTCACTACATATTGTATACTTTGCATTGTATTAGAACATTATGTATATTTATTTTAACACTTAAAATGGTAGGGCTCAAGTCAAAGTAACATTTATAGTTTCCAAAGGGTGTAAGGTGTTTATTAGATTTCCTTTGATTTAATTATCCATAATAAGAACACGTATTTAATAAATTTTATTAATTCAACTTCAACTTAGCTAAGAATGTCGAATATGATTTTAGTGATAGTGCAAAGAGTGACTAGTAGATATTAATTTTCTGGTCTCAATTATAGATAACCGAAAGCTCATCTAGATAATACGTATGATACCGAATAGAAGCAACCAAAATGTTACAAAAAAATGGAAATTTTTTCGAGTCAAAGTGAAGGAGTTGCTTTTATTCGAGTACAATTTTATTGGTAGAACATAATAACCGTAGTCAAATTTTTGGCTTCAAATCTGAGGATTGCTTTTAATCGGTAATATACGGTAATTATACAACGCAATTGAAATTATTTAAGGCTAAGCAAAAGTTATATGTGAAATGCATTCTACTTTTATACCAATTACTACTGTATTACACATAAGTTATATCCAATATAATTTAAAGAAATGCTTTATGTTTCATATTTGGAAATATTTTTTCTTTTTTAATTTTTCTATAACTTCTCCAATACAAGGCAATTGACTATAAAATTGCTTTTTATATACAAAACTCCCATATTCTATGCCAGGTTTTGTCGATCATTTGGTATATTGATCGGGTACGTGTCATTTCACCGACAAGGTTTTTTTTAAAGTTGCACTAACATTAACTCTAATTCCAACTGACCTAACGAGAATGACCAGAATTACTTTGTCGGTGAGATGACTGTCGGTGAAATAAACTTGTCGGCGAATTGACTGTCGGTGAAATAGGCTGTCGTTGAAGTGATTGTCGGCGAAATAAGCACCACTCATATTGATCGACATCGGCCTGGATTAAAAAGATTTCGAAGATTATGTTAGGTTTGAGTGAAGTCTGAGCGAAAGAAATTTTTTTCATTAGAGCACAAAAAGTAGTTTCATAGGCAAAATTGGGCTTTCTGGTCAATGACAAATGAGTGACGTCAAAGTAAATCAGAATTCGGACTTTCAAGTTAAATTATTTGGGTTCAGCCCTGATGGAGACACATATAATACGTGATTAAATTTATTTACGTATCATATATGTTTCTGATCAGGACTGAGTCTAGTACTAAATAATAAACTTGAAAACCCGAAGTTTTCCTTTGGCGTCGCCAATATATGATAAAGATCGGTGTTTACGTCAGAAACATCGAATAACCAAGTGGAGACGTACTGCGAAGCGGTGCTCGCTTCATGTTATATCCCAACATAATCGATAACAAGTACTTATTTTTAAGCTGAAGTTGTGAATTAGCACCGCCTATTCAGCTCCAATCTGTATACTCAAAGAATGAGTTCAATTCAACTAAAATACGATCTGATCAAAAGTTCGCACTTCTAAGTAGTGCCAGTGTCCATTGAGAATAGCATATCATTAGACAGGCTGATGTTTGCATGCTTGCCTCGATCTCTGCTTCACTCTTTCGACTTGCAGTTTTGTTTTTCAAGTACTCTTTCATTAAATTGGGCATTCAGTATTGAGTTATGAGCTTATCTCTTGCTTAAAAATCTAAAAAACGGGAAAAGATAATCACTTTTTTTCAGCTAAGGATGAACTCTTTCTAATTTACGATCAGCGTTATGTTCCTCGATAAATTTACTCATTTTTGGAATGACGCTTCTTTGTTAAAGATTATTAAACATTATGCTCATTATAATAAAAAACTTTTCAATTAGTATTAAATTCACCTTTGAACTTATAAATGTTAGGCTACACTGACCAACAATCCGTCTTTCTTCATTTTGAAAAGTCTCTCTTTTTCAGTTGCTTATTTATACTTAATAACGTTATATATTTTCAGTAATGTCTTCAATGTTATATGAGCTAATGATTAACGATTATATCTCATTTTACAAGAGAGACATGCTTTACGTACAAATTTTTGTTTGTCAAACTTTCTTTGTAAGCGTTCTCGATTGAATTTGGTGTATAAATTTAACTTTGCAAGTAGGTGTTACGTTTACAGATTGTGTAAAATGTAAAGTTGAATCAACTGATTCAATTGATCTTGATTGTACGTAAAGCCAACAAGCCAATCATCATCGATGAATTTTGATATTTATACGGTTTTTTTTTTTCCTTTAACGATAACCAGCATTTCTTGTTTAAAATGACCCAGGAGACGAATCACCAACAGAATAGTCAGCCAAATCGTACTCAGCCTCCTCCTCAGTTAGTCTCTCTTCTCCATGGCAAGCTTAACACTTTAATAGGCAAATCATCTGGTTATATCGAAAATCTACCCGAAGATGTAAAACGTCGCATCCATGGTTTAAATTGCTACCAATCTGAACACGCAAAATTGGAAGCAAAATTTCAGGAAGAGATCCTCGCATTAGAAAAGAAATATTTAAAACTCTATCAACCTTATTATGAAAAGCGTTCGAAGGTTGTTCGTGGTGAGTGCGAACCAACCGAAGAAGAGATTGCAACTGGCGCGTCGCTTTTTGAACTCGAAAAGTCTGAAAGAGAAAAGCAAGAAGGAGATCCAGCTATTGAAAAAAATAAAGATGTACAAGGGGATCCAACTACTGAAAACAATAAAGAAGTAAAAGGAACTATTGAAGACGCCTGCAAGGGTATCCCTGAATTTTGGCTTACGGCCATGAAAAATCTAGTGACAATTTCAGAAAACATTACTGAACGCGACGAAGAGGCATTAAAACATCTAATTGATATTCGCATCTCATATCTTGAAAATCCTGGCTTTCAGCTTGAGTTTGAATTTGAGGAAAACAAATTTTTCTCTAACACTCTTTTGGTAAAAACATATTACTATCAAGATGAACCTGGGTATGGTGGTGATTATGTGTATGATCATGCTGAAGGCACAAAAATTGACTGGAAAGAAGGCATGGATCTGACTATCACAGTGGAAACGAAAAGGCAAAAACATAAAGGCATTTATGCATTAGAATAACCATTATTATTGTTTTTTTCTTTTTGCATGCACATATATATAGTTTACAATTAGTTTTGTATTTATAGGTACCAACAAAACTCGTGTGGTAAGGACTACTGTACCTGCCGCATCATTCTTTCAGTTTTTCAATCCGCCTCCGCCAGATTGCGAAGAAGACGACGACGACTTGGATTCACGTCTTGAATTGGATTATCAAATTGGTGAAGATATAAAAGAAAAGCTTATTCCTCGCGCCATTGATTGGTATACTGGTAAGGCATTAGAGTATGAAGAATATGACGATGATTATGGTGACGAGGATTTCATATATGATGAGGATGATGACGATGACGAAGAAATTGACGACGAAGACGACGACGGTGACGATGAAGGAGTAAGTAAATGTCTTAGGACATCTCTAACAATCTTGTAAAGTTTTTTTTATTTTGTTCTACCAAACGTTCGTGGTGACATTTAGTAAGTATCTGAAAATACCTCAATTCGAAGGACGCTTAGTTGAAAATAGGTTAAAACCACGAACAAATTAGGGCTGCTTTGGGAGATCTTTTTATTATTATTCCGGAAAATATTTAAATTTTAGATTATTCTATGGTTTCATTATGTATTTATATTATTTTAATGGTTAGCTTAGAATAGTTAGCATAACATGAATATTATTAATAAGGTCATTACGAACTGTAAAGTTATTTTCCTATCACTTTACACTATTATTATACCGTTACTTTAGCTTATTTCTTAACGTTTACTATCCTTTTTATTTTCATTTTACATAAATTGACATGTATCTTATTATTTAATCCATAATATTTGTTTCTCTACTTTCAACTATTACAGGCCGGCGGAAGGAATGGGGAGGTGGGTAAATATTATGTCTAATTATTTATCTTGTTAATTTGTGATGAGATTGATTTCACATACTTATGCAAATTCTTGGTTATTAGAGCGACCAGAATGCAAGCAGCAATAAAATAAACTGGCACGATAAATGATTTATTGGTTGTAAAAAAAATTCTTTTCTTTCGCACTACCTTTTTTACAAATCATGATTTTACATCCAATGTTTCATTACTAAATAAAATTCGTTTTATTTGTTCAAAATTGCGAAGAAATGGTCAATATAGTACGAATAGAACCCATAATATAAATAACTTGCTTAGTTACTAGTAACCAACTAAATGAAATAATTTTTCTTTTTTAAAAATTCCTGAGTAATAAATGTAATCTTTAGTGAGATTTACAAAAACATTAAAAAAAAGAAATGCAAAGTTCGACACAAATTTCGCAGCAAATTATAAAAAGTGATAATTGCGGATGAATTCACACTGTAAGAAAATATTAATGTATTTTGTACATACCATGCATTTTTTTTTTCATTTTACACCCAGCAATTTGATCTGCATACAAAATAAATGACAAAATTAGAAATTACATAAATAGCATTTGAAGACAATTTAATTAACAGTACCGTGAACACAAGAGTAGCGTTCTTTGGTATAACTATAGTTAATCAAGGAGCTTAATTAACCGCAATTATTATATACTTTTAAGAGTCAACATGGTTAACTAATGAACTTACCTGGCGGACTTCCAGCACTGCCATAAGCTTGTTGTGGTGGAATTGTTAGTTTGCGTTCGCCACCAATTCGCATACCAGAAATTCCAATTTCCCAACCTAACCAATAATTTTAGATAATACAACATTATCAAATTGTTTAAGGGAAATCAATGAAAAAAATATTAATAGGATAAATACCTTTAATGACTTCTCCTTTACCCAAAGTGAAGTGGAATGGATCTCCGCTGACATTTTTGTCAAAAACTTTGCCATTCATGAGTCGTCCAATGTACCGGACATAAAGCTAGAAAAAAATTGAAATTGGTTAAATATTCTATTATAATTTCAAATATTCAACTATAACTCATTACCTTCTTGCCAGGTTTTGCAATCTTTCCACTACCTAATGTGAGGTCTTCGATTTGAACACCCTCGAGAGTTGTGATAGTTCCCTAGAATTATAAAATATTTAATAACAAATTTTACTCAAATAAACCTAAAATTATTATACCTTTTCTTTGGAGTCAGAGTCCAACTTTAAATCTTTATCTTTTGACTTTACAATTTTATTGTCGCCTTCGGTTTTCAGCTTTTCGGGCTCTAAGGTTTTTGTTAAGGTTTCAGCTTTACCATTTTTATTTTCGCCTTCTGTTTTCGGCTTTTCAGGCACTAATGTTTTTGCTAAAGTTTCGGCTTTACTATCTACGAGTTTGTTTTTGTTTCGGTCTTTATTTTTTTTCTGTACAATTATAACTCAATTAGGATTAATTCAAAACTTACACGATAAACTGGAAAAATTGGCAAACCTTTTTTTGTGCCTTTGATAATGTATCTGCACTCGTTGTTTCGATTGCCCCATTTTCAGTCTTTTGTTTTTTTGCTGCAGGTGTATTTTGTTTATCTTTGTCATCATCATTTGACCTCTTCTGATATTCACCATTTTCACTTTTAACTTTATTATTGACAATTGCCTGATCAGAGGCACAGTTTTCCTCACTAATATCTTCGTCTGAATCATCTACGTTGGTTATTGCATCTTTCTTCTGTATATAAAAATTCGTTGTATAACGCTGTATATAATATCGCGAAGTGTATAATTATTGGAATCTTATTTACCTCTGATGCTAATAATTTGAACGATTTATTATTAACATTGACTCTCTTCACATTCATTTCATCATTCGGTTTACATCTTATCGGCGAAGGAAGTTCTTTAGGCCTATTTTCTGAATCATCATGACCGATTATTTTTATATAATTTCCCGTCAAATGTATTTTGCTATGGTTGGTAGCACTTTGTTAAGATCCAATCATGTACTTAACCACGAAAATTTATATTTGAATCTTACTTGTGCCCCACAGAATATAATTTGACATCTTCTCCTTCCAACAAAGTAATATTTAAATTTTGTTGTTCGTGCTTATTTCGAAGTTTGAAATTGATTAGAAAAATCAATTACCACAAAAAAAAAAAAAAAAATAGAAAGAAAACAAAAAAAAAAGATGCTTAATCTTGATTTTACCACTCCATAGATCAAATTACACAAAACGAACTTCCTATCATTTGCTTCAATAAAAAGAGTTGTCCGGAGTTCTTCTGATTCTTCGGATGCTTCTGATCTTTCCGATTCTTCGGATTCTTCAAGCACTAATGCCGCCTTTAATCGCATGATCATTGAAATTTGTCACAGATAATGTTTGTTTTTTTTTCTCAAGTTGAACATGAATTCAAGAATTCTCATTATACCATATATATTTTGAAATTATTCCGGACATTTTGACTATATGTAAGTCCGGGTACGATCTCAAGACCTAAAATTAAATATTCAGACTTTAGAATATAACTACTTTATGTATTGTACATTATTAATATATACCCCAAAAACCATTCGGAACCTTCATATTGAATAAGTTAAAGATAAATTTTTTTGTGATACTTTGGGATAAAAATTTTTTTTAATAATTAGGATCAGAGCGCAGCATATCTGTGATTTTGATTGGCTATACACTTGATTAAATTCGATAAAAATAGTGGTCGTTTAAAGTGGGGTATATTCACGTGATCACGGCCAATCAAATTGATGATCGTCGGCGAAAATCCTAAAAAATACTTCGGAATCATGATCGGCAGGGCCGGAATCAACTAATTTTGCCCAAGATCACTAAAAGTTTTACTAATGAAACCATAGCTCACTCATTAAGTAAAGCTGCCCAGCTGATAATTTTGGCCCAGAAATGGTTAACTTGTATTACTAAATGCTAACTAAATGCCGGGATAAATCCGAAGTATTCCGACCCGGAATTTTGGGGATCCCCCTGTATGAGTTAAGGGAGGGTCGGGTATTCTGGCGCACCTAAGAGTGCTAATGGTAAAAATTTTCAGAAAAAGCGTAGTTGTTCTTAGATTTATTGAAATAAGCTAAAAATACAATTTACTACTTATTAGTAAAACAAAAAAAGCTTTACTATAAACAAAAATATGATTTTCTATCTTTCAAAAACTATCGAAAAACTTATGTTTTCTTAGTAGGGTATTCTGGCGCGCACTGAATAAATTGAATTCATAATATCTCTATATAAAATACAATATATACTACATCAAAAAAGTAACTCTAATCCAAACATTACATATGACCATGTGATCAAAGATTAATATTAACATTAATCATATTCTTTTTACTTTTTTTATGCAAACATTCTTTCTTTTTTTAATTCCATTTTAGCTTTTTTTTGTGTTTTCTTTATCTTTCTATTAGCTTATTTCTGAGCAGTTGTTTCTTCATTTTGTGCTTTTCATTTTGTTTTTTGTTAATTCATTCATTTTTTTTAATATTTATAGAGATTTCTTGTTAGTAAGAAGCTAAATAAAAGGTTGAGTTTTTCTCTTTTTTGTCTATTGGAATTTTGATTTAGTTGTTTACAATACTTAGAAAATAGAATATTTAAGAACAAGTTTTAATAAGCAGGTACTGAAATTTTTAAATGTTTCAAGTTTTTTCTTTTAATATTTTATTTTTATTCTTTAGAAAAGATATTTTTATTTTTAAAAGTTTATTTTCTATTGTAGTATTAGCTTGAATAAAAAAATAATTTTGTATTAAGAAAATAAAATAAAGAAATAATAAATAGTTTGAAACAAAAAAAATTTTGTTAAGAAAATAATAATATAATATTTGAAAGAAAATTTTGATTTATTAGTTAAAATAAAGGTAAAAATATTAATTTATTTTATATATATAGAAATAGCAAAACAATTTGGATTAATAGTGTTAAAATTACAAAATTTCTTTGTTTTAATCACAACTCTTTCTGATAATTACCTGGATCAAGTTGATACCAAAAGTAAATTGAAGATTCTGACTCCAAAGTGAATAATATTCTTAGTTTTACATTAAATAAACTTGATATTAACAAAGCTTAAATATGTAATATACTAAGAAGCAAGTAAAACTTAAGTAATTCTTGTCTTGAGTTAAGCTTTTTGTCTGATGAACTCTCTTACATATTCAATATTCAAACTGAAAGGATATTCTGAAAACAAGTAAAAACAAAATCAGTTTTCTGATTAAAAATATTAAAAGCAAAAGAATAAGAAGAACAACTAGAAAAACTCTTCTTAACTTAAACTTTTGTAACAATGATATACCTTATCTTTATCTTTTTTTTGTTTTCTTTTTTTTGAAAAGTGGAGATTTGATTTACTTTCATCAAAAGATCAAAATTATACATCATTTTCTTTGCGATTATATACTTATTTGAATATAACAAATAAGAAACATAAAAAACATATAAGTCAACCAATTATATAAAGCAGATCAGAAAAAAATTTAATTCAAAAAGATCAAAAATATATTAAAATATATATATATTTCAAGGTTATGTACATAATATTTTTTAAAAAAATGATTATAGAGATTTATAAAGAATTGGTTTGTTTAAGTATACTTCAAACCTTAATATAGTATCTCACCTACTTGAAGATTTCTTTTATATAGAAAGTGCTTAGCTTAAACTCTATTCTACAAGTAAATATAGTTTTCATTCTGGTTAAGAATACCTAGTTTTTAGAGAATAATTATAGTTTATAAAATTATGAAAATATTATAATAAGCAGCAATCGTAGAATAGAGTTTTATTCTATTAACAGGTTTTCTTTTTTATTCTCTTTATAAAATAGTTTTGTTTTCTTTTTGTTAGTTTTATTTTACTTCACATTTCTATTTTTTTTTTTCAAACTTAAAATTATTTACTTTTTTTTTGTTTTTTTCTTTTTTATAAGAAAATGTCTCCAAATTAGTAGTATTCTATTGTAGAATAAGATTAGTTAAGTCATAATTTCTAGTTCTAACTGGATTAGTATAACAGGTCATATTTAGGTACTGTTTGGGTGACTAGATGATAGTAAATTTATAAATTAAATAATATTCTGTATTTATATTTATAGTTACAAATGGTTTAATAAAGTACTACCATGATTGCTTAAGAAAAAAAAAAATAGTATTAGAATTAAAAAATTAAATTTTTATAACTTTATAAATATTAATAATTGTATTAAATATGTAAATTTTTATATATATTAGTTAAACATTTTAATGAATATGTGTTTGGTTATTAATTTACTATTTTATTATAAAGCTTATTGCAGACTTTGTTGTATTTAGCTTTTAGTTTGAAAAGTAAAAGTTTGAATAGTAAAAAATATAAGTTATATACAAAAAAAGATTATATAAAAAAATTCTATTTTTATAACAAAAATTGATGTTTATATAATTTATATAGTTTTTGTAACTATCAAAAATTAGAAAAACTAAATATTAAAAAAAATAAAACTAATAAATCTTTAATATATATTTGAAATAGATTTTTTTTATATATATTAAGTTTATAAAGTCTATAATGGTATTAGTCAAAATACTATTTAATAAATTTAGAATTGTATAAATATATATATATATATTTTTTAACCTTAAGCAGTTATGCTAGTACTTTATTAAGATTTTTGAAACTATTGTTATAGGTAAAAGCCTTCTTAATTTTTATACTATAATGATAACATGGCACAAAAAATTTCTTATGAGTATATATAATGTCCAAAAAGGAAGTATAGCTTCTGTTAGATATTGTCAAGAAACTATACTCTTCTCTAAGGCAGTTTGAGAAAGGTAATGCAATACTAATAACTTTACTTTATTTCACTAAAAAGAGATAAACCTTGCCTGTAGGAATTATTCTAGAGAAGAAGTATCAATATAGTTTATAGTCAAAAGCCATTTATTAAAGTAATAACAAGAAAGGCTATTCTTAGATTTCTGTTCCTAAAAAATTCCAAGATGTTTTTACAATATTAAAAGAAAGAAAGATGTCTGTTGCTTAATTGCACTTGAAAAATTTAGCAAAGTTTATATATCTGTGAGCTAAATAACTAAGCAGCCAAGTGACTAAGTGATTAAGTGACTAAGTAACTAAGCATTAAGCAACTAAGCAACTAAGCAACTAAGCAACTAAGCAACTAAGCAACTAAGCAACTAAGCAACTAAGTAATTAATTGATTACTAAGTGACTAGAAGGTTCTAGCAACTAATAACTAATGATTACTAAGTAACTAATTACTAAGTGACTAAGTGGCTAAGTAACTAAGTAACTAAGTGATTACTAATTGATCAGAAAGTTCTAGCAACTAATAATAATAATAATAATAATAATAATATAATAATAATAATATAATAATAGAGAGGTATTGACTTAGTGAAGTAGTTAAGTTGTCAACCCCCAAGTGGTAGGTAGTGAATTCAAATTTCACCAACAATGAAAATTTGGATAATCATTTATGTAATATATAAACAGTATTACAGTGATAGCATTTTGTCAATTAGTTAAGATAAGATACTTGTAACATAATCACATCAGCATGACTGACAGAACATAGGGCATCTGCACAATATTAGAGTTATACAGAAAAATGCAAACTGGCATCAAGCAGTGCAAATCTAAGATAAATCCTTATGGCCATATAAATCTGTAAACTAAAAAGCCAGACCTACTTGGAAAGTTCCAAGTAGAAAAGTAGCATAGATCTAAGAAATGAATATCAATGTGAAAGGAATCAGGCAGGTAAGAACCTCAGGTAAGTAGTACCATCAACTAGGCTACTAGAAGTCTCAAACTGAAAGAAAAAAACCTTGAAGGACAGACTCTAGAGTATTAGGAACAGATTATTAGGCTAACTGGATTGGGAGTCTAAGGTCAAAAGCAGAGATATACTACAAGTACTAGAGATATGCTGTGAAATCAGTACTGAGGTCTGAGTGAACTTTGCAAAGGTGAGTTCTGTTAACAATAGACTAAAATGTAGGTAGTTAGTTAATAAGAAGGTCTTT